ATACAAAATAACAATTCAAAGAATTGCACAAACTCAGTATCCATGTACACATTGACCTATTTTCACTTAACAAACATCAGAGAATTGCACAAACTAGGCATTGCGCATTCCCTTGACTTCGTCCATGTACACATCGATCTATATTCACTTAAAACGTCAAAGGAGCAGCCAACAAAAAATATACAGTCAAAAGTCGTTAATCCGGACTCATCGGGACTTCGGCGATTCCGGATTATCGATTTTTCCGGATTATAGATCATCAGTTTAAATCTGGTAAGATGGCATGCAGAAATTATAAAATTAAAAATATGAAACCGTAATTTATAAAATAAAGAACAATTATGATCTAAAGGGTATCAAAATTTACAAAAAGAAAAAGCTTAATATTTATTTGTTTACTTTATTAAACATTTCTTTCAATGTAAGTTGTTTAAGTTGCTTCGTTTTATGTGATAATACTTTCTCTTTAATTCTATAAACAGACATAATTTCTTGTTCAGTTACAAAGTTCCACTGTTCAAGTCCTATAATTGCTGTGTCGAGAATACCGACTAATTTGTCAATCGAAATGATTTCGTTTTCAATAACCTCTCTGTCACTTTCTTCACTGTCACAAGCAAATTATAATGATGAGGAATTTGATTTAAATCATATCAAAGACGGAATACATCGAGATGAAATACTACATTTAGTAAGGAATTATAAACCAAATAAAATGAAAACATCTGCCCTGAAGGTAAGGATAGTGCTGAGAGATGAACTTCTAATTAATTGCACGCCCCCCCCCCCGCCACAGAGCAGCGTGAAATTAATAAACAGATTTCGGAATGGTTAGGTCATTTTTTGCAGCAATTCCACTTTTGTTTAATGGACTTCGAAACATACTTTCGCTTTGTAGATCCTTTACATATTAGTAAATATATATCGGAAATTCTATTTGACATAATCGAAAGTTCAAGCTTACTTTTATAAAATTGCTCTAACAGTCTGCAAAAAATAATAAGCCGGATCCAATTCGAAGATTAAGGAACAACGCAATCTGCAACATTAACTGAATTAGATAATTTTAGCTTAGCTTATATCGTCCGTTATACAATAAACGCACATGTGTAAACGTATTTTTCGCCTGCGAACACGCATATTCGCAGCTGTAAAGGTCAACACGATAAATGCGCAGAAAATTTGTAGCTTTGAGGTCCGGATTATAGATTATTCTGGATTATGGGTGTCCGAATTAACGACTTTTGACTGTATTATCTCAATAAACTACATTTTAAATCAAACAATGAAATAACATAAAAAAAGAAATTCATTTTAGCACTACACAAAGGAAATATCCACTTAACCTTATTTATGAATTTATGCGTCTTCTGTCAAACACAATTCCTTAACAGCATCCAAAAACTTTCTAAAATTATCTGAACAAGAATCTGTATACTGGGGTCGCCACATAAATTCGCAAAAATATCCTCTGTAGTGCCGATATCATCCGATGTTTGACCATATGCAATTCCTTCCTACAAACAGGACACTTAATAATGGCTACTAAGTAAACCTTCATTTACACACCAGTCAATTAATTTTGTCCCTTTCGTTCCATATCACACAGAAACTTCAAATTTATCTTATCGTATTCAGCCATTTTGCCGTGTAAACCACAAAATAACAACATACTTCTTACCCAAAATCCAACACACACTTTCCAAATATTTTCCCACAATTCTAATTATCACGCAACCAATTATGTCATAATAGGGTTTCCTTGACATTCAACTACTCAGGTTAACATAAATGAAACAACAACTTGGTAATAAATGAAATGGCAACTGAGCAATAAATGAAACAACAACCTAGCAATAATCAAAGGGGCACTCTTAGATCTACTCTAACCAAATTTTCTCTTATATCCAAATGTACTGATAAATGAAAATGCAGTATTAAGTAAAGTTATTATTGAATTGTTATTATAAAGTTGAGGTATAGGTAATCTAAAAAAAAAAAAAAAAAAAAAAAAAAAAAAAAAAAAAATAAAAAGGGATGACTTCTCTGACTTTCAAAACGAGTTTCTGATTTTTACCTATTCAGAGCATATTTTAGAATTTCGAGAAATATTGTATAATAAAATTTTATAAGAAGCATGGCGGAATTTTATATGAGAATACAACTGAAACTTTAGTGAAATTGATATAAATATTTGGAAAGCATTAGCATTTAGCAAAATTTGAACCATTTCATAGTACAGTCAAAAGTCGTTAATCCGGACTCGTCGGGACTTCGGCGATTCCGGATTATAGATCATCAGTTTAAATCTCGTAAGATAGCATGCAGAAATTCTAAAATTAAAAATATGAAACCGTAATTTATGAAATAAAGAACAATTATGATCTAAAGGGTATCAAAATTTACAAAAAAAAAAAAAAAAAAAAAAAAGCTTAATATTTATTTGTTTACTTTATTAAACATTTCTTTCAATGTAAGTTGTTTAAGTTGCTTCATTTTATGTGATAATACTTTCTCTTAATTCTATAAAAACAGACATAATTTCTTGTTCAGTTACAAAGTCCCGCTGTTCAAGTCCCGTTAATTGCTGTGCCGAGAATACCGACTAACTTGTCAATCGAAATTTTTTCGTTTTCACTAACCTCTCTGTCACATTCTTCATGTCTTTATCCATTTTTTGCAGCAATTCCACTTTTTGTTTGTTGGACATCGAAACATACTTTCGTTTTGTAGATCCTTTGGAAGTTCCAGCATCGGAAATTCTATTTGACATAATCGAAAGTTCAAGTTTACTTTTATAAAATTGCTCTTACAGTCTGCAAAAAATAATAAGCGGGATCCAATTCGAAGATTAAGTAACAACGCAATCATTAACATTAACTGAAATAGATAATTAGATAATTTTAGCTTACACCGTCCGTTATACATTAAACGCGCAGGCGAAAACGTATTCTGCACTTGCGCACACGCATATGCGCAGTAGTCAAGGTCTTACGCGCTCGCGTTAAACGCCTGTGCGCATGTGCCAACGCAGCACATGCGCAGAAAGTTTTTAACTTTGAGGTCCGGATTATAGATCATTCCGGATTATGGGTGTCCGAATTAACGACTTTTGACTGTACATGAAATTTTAATCTGACAATATTAGGCATATGGTGGTTTCATAGCTTCCAAAAGTGGGGGAAAAGAATGAGCAGAGCAGAGAAGGACTAAGAAAAATGTTTGTTAGGATCTTCTGGAATGCATTCACAGGATTAAACTACCAGTAATCCCAGATTTCTCATACCATTCTGAAAATGAAGCACCAGAGCTTTGAGTTACACACAAGCAACTCATTAACTGAAAAATTGTAATGAATGATAATTCGTCTCCACCTGGATTTGGTGATTGGGTCTTCTCTCCAGTCACCCTCATGTGGGGGCTGGCTAGCACTCTGAAGGTTTAAGGTTTAAATCCCAGAAGGGCATCATTGATTTTTCATATTTTCTGCACCAAAAGGAACCTAATGACCATATAACAAAATCAGGTCAGTGCTGATTTACTTTCTCAATAATCTAAAGATTGACTAAGAACTCATGCCTGGAGATTAACTATGAATCAACAATAGTTCAAAATTCTCTGAAGCCTTAAGAAAATATAGGTGCTCTCATGCAACCAGAAAGCTTAAAATTGTTGGATGCTACATCATGATGATATTCTGTGTTACTCTTTTACAAAATTTTTGGCTAAAAGAGCACTTTGTACTTTTTCATTAATGGGGCAATTCTTGTTATCAAGCATAAATATTGATGCAAAATGTAGCCTGAAAGAGTAATAGCAACCCAATGATGCTTTCAATTCGTCGCCTACAATGCTGTTTTGGTGCTTCATCAGCACTGAAATTAAACTTAATCTTGTTATTATTAGAGCAAAGTTTTTTAGTATGGATAATTCCTTTTTTCCCCCCAGAAAGAATTTAATGGCATATTTTCATCATTTGCAAGTAGGCACATCCAGTGGTATAAGTTGAGTTCGTGGACCTCTATGCAGAAACATATTTTTGGACTGGGTACTCACTAATGATTTTGGTAGGGGCTGATTTAGTTATTAAGTATTATAAACCCATGTTTGCAGGATTATAAGCACATGCTTGTAGGTTACAAAAATAATTAAATAAAATGAAAATAAATATAAGCTCTTCTCCAGAGTAAAAAGTGTATAATGTAACCTTAAAACAAAGATTTATATCTGAAATTTCGTAAACAAAATTGTTTAACCATATATAATTTTTTATAAAAAATGTGTTTGGTGAAGTTTTTCCCTCCTTTGTCCATTTAATTCCTCTATATCTCTAATTTTCTTCTTTTTCATCAGCTCTAATTTTCTCGTAATTAGATAATACTGTGGTTAACTAATGTCATGAGGTATTTTCTATGTCCTTCCCTTTGCCTTTTTGAAAGGCACGTCAGACTATTATCAGATGTCTGGAGTTCAAATCCTGGCCATGGCATAGTTTATTTTTCATATTGCCTGCATCGACAAACCTAATCATTCTACAATGGGACAGATAAAACTGATGATAAAAGTTACCATAAATAAACACACACAGATCATATATTTCTATATATAAGAGGGTATGTATATAATTAGATATTATGGGAAAAGCTGTAGAGACATTAGGATTTTTTGTAAGCAGGAGAGATGAAAAATGAGCAATGTCCTCGCCAGGAATAGAACCATGGACCTCTGGAATATGCGCCCAGTATGCAGATCACTGAACTATGAAGGCATGCTAAGAAGGCGGGAGAAATACGTTATAAAGTATTATATCTAAAAATTTATATTTAGTAAGCTAAAGTAATAGTAATGTGTATAGATTCCTGTGGAATTAAAACCTAATAATAAATCAATACTTGCATGCTTTTATGTTTATGCTTATTGCAAATTTTTAAAAAAGCATTTCACTATATTATAATTAATAATTCATTCAAAAATTCATTATCATATTAAATATACTTCAGATTATGGAAGATGTAAAGATGGGAATCAAATATGCTTTTCAAACTACTAATGAAATGACTTTTGCTGTCAGCGGTACTGGACAATGTGCTATGGAGACTGCAATTTGTAATATATTAGAACGTGATGACGTTTTTCTAATTGCTTCTGATGGAATTTGGGGCAACAGAGCTTCTGAAATTGGACAAAGACTAGGTATGACACCTTATTGTTAAATAACTGGATGCAAACAGTGTGTAGTAATTTTTTTTCTGGTGATGTAATATTATGAACTCCCTGTATTGTGATATCTTGAAAAATATTCAAGGCAACAAAATTTACAGAGCTTATGACTGTTTATTATAAATTTAATTTATAGTGTTGGCTATCTTAAATGTTGTATAATAGAGATTGGCTTCTAATGATAAATAAATAAAAAAGTGCAATTAAGTTTACTTTAGGGCACTTGTAAAATGTTTCATTAATTCTTGCCTAAATGTGTGGACTGTATAATAAAAGAATGTCGACATCTTTATTAACAGTAGTTACTACAGTCAGTACTACCAACATGTTGCCTTAGTCAAAACCAATAGCCAAGTGAGAGTTTCTTTCTCTCTATAGTAGATGGCACTGTATTCTAACTTAACATGCCACCACCCATTGAAATTCAAAATTTCAGTATGTAAATTATAAACATACAGTTTAGCACTTTCAAGAAAAACTAATTCTACAGTCCAGATATGAAAGCTAAGAGCGTAGTTTTGCATCATGAATATAATATAAAGTAATATAAACAGATAATCCTGAAATACAGTATAAAATAATATAAATATCATAAACTAATTTATTGTGTTATGGTCTTACTTGCTCTTTAAAACAGCTTTATTTCAATATAACAGATAATTTTCAATACAAACACAATAATGTAAAACTAAGCATTGTTATCCTTGATAGGCAGTAAACAAATTTTGCTAATGCATCAAATATATACACCATTGGATGATTTCAATTTAACAATTCTGGCTTATTTTCTTTCTCAGGTAAAACTTCTACAATTCTAGTTAAAGACCATTTAAATGAGGTAGATTATCTTCGTTTAACACAACTAACATACCTTCCTTTAAGTTTTCTTTATTAATAAACCATTTTGTGCATTGCTGAAGATGATTTTAATAATCAGTTTGTCAATATTTGAAAATAATGTGAATAAACTTAGTAATAATCTGCCATTTAGAAAGTCTGTTATTTGTAAGATATGACAAATCAGATTCAGAATAAGAAGAAATGGAATGTCCAATTTAAAAATGACCTGGCATTAAGGCCTCGAGATAATTCACATCTGTTGATAAAGATAAAATTAGATGGAAATTGAGAATACCTTCAATCAGTAGGACAACATTTCAGAATTCTTCTAAAATCAACTTATAACTGCAGACTGTGCACTGAAGATAGCATTTAGATGACTAATTATGTGCTTCACATAAACCAGCAAAATTTGGTGCAGTATGTGGAATCAGTTTCCAATTTATACCTGCAGAAACTAAGAAATCTGATAAATCAGAATTAGATTTAAGGACTAAAATATGCAATTTTTTCAGTTCTGAAAAGTATGGACCAACCATATTAGTATCGTTATATAACATTGTGGTATAACATTTTCCACGTCTAGTAATAAATTTTTTAAATGTATGTAATGCATCTGTGGTTAAATCCTTTATTACCTCTAAATGTTTTGCTTTAGTAGCTAAACATATTAATATAGCAACATAATTTATACTTGATGAGTAATGGACCAGAAAAATCAAGTGCATGAGTATTCAATGCAAACCCTGAATTAACTCTTTCACCATGTAAGTTTTCCATAAGTTGTTTATATGCAATTGATTAAACTTTAAAACATATTACACATTCATGTACAACTTTTTGAGCTACAGAGGCTGTTCACACATTTTTTAGATGATTTTCATTGTAACTACAGAAATATTTTACCTAAAGTTTTGTTTTAAATGTTTTATTTGATAACCCTTATTCTTCATTATCTTAGTACACCGTAATTTCCAATTTATCCCATTGCTCTCAAACAGCTTTCCAAAGCCTAAGGAGGTTGCAGGTTGATGTTTAGGACCCCTTTTTAAAGTACAAAAGTGCAAAGATACGTTGTGATAGATCAGGAGAATTAGTAAGGATATGAGTGAAGACTATGGTCTTGATATCTGTTTCTTGTTCCATTTTTCCAAGAAATTACTAGTAGATTTTGACATGCCACTGCTTGCTTTGTATTGACACAGTTCTACTGATTTATCACACTGTGTGTAAAGAGAATGTATTTGAGAATTGGGTGTAAAATATGTTTTTGATACTATGTGGAGTTGATCTTAACATTTTTCTCCATGTCTCTATTTTTAATTTGCTTTTATATGAAAACCAGCAACAATCATAAATCCCTTAAAAAAACTTTCTTTGGACTCCTTGAACCATGTTTTAAGATTTTTTTTGTCCTCTTTGTTGCTATAATAAATGGATCTCTTTTTTATTGCAGTCATTTAAAGACACCCAAGCTAAGATAAGGTTCATCTATTGTAATAAAATTTTCCCGCTTTTTTTTCCCCCCCTCCCAGATAAATGTTTCTGATAAAGAATTTTCCAACACATTCTGCGTTCAGTCCTGGAAAAAGGCGATGCACATTATGTTTTTTGTTCTGTTTTTAAGATTCAGATCAACAGTTAAGCACTTTATTTACAGCTTACACTGAGCATTTTAATGATTTTGCAACTGCCGTTTGACTTGGCGAATTTTCTTTTAACACTAAAGATCTTACTTTTGCAACATTCAAAACAATCCGTTTTTTTCTTGGGTATGTATTTTAAACAATTTTTACACTTGAAGCTAAATTGTGACTTTTTCCCTTTGTTGTTGACAGCATTACCTATTGTAGCTTTAGATATGGAAAAAAAAAAAAATACCTTTCGCAACGTTTTTTAACAACTAGATACGAATAATTTTCTTTGAAAGGAACACAAACATCCATTGCTTCTTTAAAAGCAACATTTTGAATGAAAACAAAACTGTCAAGTAGCAGACAATAATTTATACTTTCAAATATGTAGTTGCAGTTAAAAAAAATTTCTAAGCAGATTTTTTTTTACAGCAAAGCAAAATCATCTAAAAATGTGCAAACAGCCTCTCTATAACTTGAGCATTAATAACCCAAAATTTACTGCAAACCTGATGTAATAAATTTTGCACACCAAGATGCAAATATATAACATGGTAATACTCAAAATTAATCTTGTAAATACATGATCCTTTGGTGTTACATAAGAAAATTTTTGATTGTAATTAAGATTATTATTTGTAAGTCTGTCTCCTACTTTCAGAAGAGAATCTTTGCCTAGAAATGGGCATAAAAATTTTAACTTAGTTTGAGAAGAAACACAGTTCTTATTTTTCTAGGAGCAAATATCTTTGCCAAAATGTTGTGATTGTAGATACCTTATGAAGATTTCCTCAGCATCATCCAATTCTTTAAGAGTTAGAGGACATATTATACTTTTTCCTTAACGATTGGCTGTAAATCTGCAAACAAAACTTAACACACATATAATTTGAACATAATTACTTACTGACATTAAGAACAAGATCTGAAACAAGGAAATTAGAGTTCACATTTAGGTTAACTAAGTCATTGTCCTTAAGTTTGAGTTTCTTCACGTATTCCACATCAGCCATATCAGAAGAAATTATTTCACAAGGATTAGTAAAGAACCTTTTCTTAGTTAAGAACCACACAAATCATTATGAAGAAGATTCTTAGATCAGTCTCTGCATGCTGTCTAATCAGCTGGTTATGAGTGCCAACATGATACCAGTCAAGAATAGCAGTCACCATGCGAATAACCGACACTCTATTAGCAACAGATGTCTTTAGTTGATGAGGTTCCTTTTTAATCCATGCTAAAACTATTGAAGAATCAGTGAGATAATACACTTCGTCTGTGGGTAGTTGAATGGCCTCTAATATTCTTTTCATTAATTTGCCAAGAGAACTGCACCACAAAGTTCCAAACAGGGAATGGTATTTGACTTTAAAAGGTGAAACACGAGACTTGCTCCAAAGAACTATTGTTGAACATTCATTCGTAAATGAGATACATTTCACATAAACTGCAGCACCATAGGATTTCTGATTAGCATTGCAGGATCCTGTTATTTCTATTTGCTGTACTTAATTAAAATAAATCTAGGGATGCAATAATCATCGACTATTCTGACACTATGCAGAAATGCCTTCCATTCCTCAAAGTGATTTTTAGGAAGAGATGTATTCCAATTTATTTTTAAGAGCCAAAGTTTTTATAGAAATATTTTAGCCTTTAGTCCAATTAAACGTAATGTATCAAAGAGGTGACTTATTGCTGATAAGACATCTCTTTTTGTTACTATTTATTCAATGTCAGGTATCTTTAAATAATAAGAAAAGCTATCTGTAGCCATATTCCATGGCATTCACAAGGCCGTAGTAATCTGACACTTATCAGTAACTTGAAAAGAATAATCCTGACTTGCACTTTCTCTATTCTTCAGTAGTTTAGTATTATTTGGACAACATTTGCATAACTGCATTCTGCCACATTCTGGAAGACAGATTAACTGTGTCTGCAACTCCTTGAGCTCTTGCAGCGCATTAGCTCCAGTGATTCCTTCTACTTAACAGTTCTTCAGTATGGCTTTTGAGACACAAGGAAATTCAGTCACGATATCCATTGCTAACTGCTTCAGGATCCTTGTTGCAAGGAATAATGCACTTACTGTTCCATATTTTACAGTCTTCAGATGATAAGTCTGCACAGGGCTGCCAATCGATCCTTTCCATAAGATCAGCTGCAGGATTCCTTAAGATGGTTCAATAAGTTTTTTTCTATCTTCTGAACATCAGCTCCTAGAGCAAAATTGTGCCTTCAGAATCTAATAATAATAGAAAATAAACCATCTTTATTCAGCCTTTCATTAATACTGAATTAAGTGATTTTCCATTAGTAGTGGTTGCTGATGCATTAAACACAACGTGAAGCTTGATAGAGGTTTTCTCCGGATGATAAACTTCATGATGACTGAGATAATTGCAGGTTAATGATTCAGTTTCTTGAACTTCTTCCATGTGATTTAAATCCTTATATTCCTTGATAAAATTCTTATACAGTCAAAAGTCGTTAAT